GCAGGGGGTACGGCAGAACCTCCAGCACCTATGTCTCTATACCACCATCTGAGGAGCTCGGAGTGTGTTGTGAGGGTTCATTAGCTGGTGTTTGTAAGTATTACAGGAAACTGAGGTCAATGATTTTCCTAACATCACAAGACAAGTCAGTGGCAGAGGTGCAAGTAGAACTTAGGGATGCTTACTCAGGCAGAATTCACATTCACTTCAACAGTTGTCTGAGTAAAGACTTAAGAATTTGGTCCAAAATACATACAGGAATTACTTTATCACTGGAATGCAGCTGTGGGTGAGGTGGAAGGCAATAACCTCTGGACAACTGACACACACTCAACCAGTTGTGGGAGGGGAGTATTTTTTAGCTAAGGACATGCATCAAATACTAGTTTTCTAGTTTATTGATACCCATTCTTTATGATGAAAAGGTGACCAGAAAACAATCAGTGATAAGTGCTCATGGGAGCCTAAACTGTGCCTTGAACAGGAAGAACATTATTTCATTTTGTTTGTATTGATTCCTTCTTTGCTTTTTCTACTGTAGCCATACACTGGGCTAATGGCTGCCAGGGGTATATGTATGCTGTGGTGAATCATAGAATATCAGGGTTGGAAGGGACCTCAGGAGGTCATCTAGTCCAACCCCCTGCTCAAAGCAGGACCAATCCCCAGACAGATTTTTGCCCCAGATCCCTACATGGCCCCCTAAGGATTAGAGCTCACAACCCTGGGTTTAGCAGGCCAATGCTCAAACCACTGAGCTCTCCCTCCCCCCACCAAAGCTTCTGCTAACAATCTCACAAACCCACAGTAAGAATGAGCGTCCAAAACCAGCCCAGGTTTCATTCAGTAGCACCTTGCATGCAATCTATGTGCGTGGTAAGGAGCATGCTCCCATTGGCAACGTGTGTGCTGGGGGGAGGAAGTATGCTTACAGTGGTGGTGGTGGTGGGAAGGGCCCAGATGACACATCTGTCACTTGTTAGAGTTGTATGTTGCACCCCTCCCAAGACTTATTCACGTCTGTCAGTAATAGGGTGACCAGACAGCAACTGTGAAAAATCGGGACGGGGTGGGGGGTAATAGGAG